TATCCTGGAGAGATTCCCTCTGGTCCCTTTAACTGTTACTCAGGGAAAATGCATGAATTGGTCCGGAGGTAGAAAGAAGCAATAAGATTTACCCAGGACAATCTCAGGTTAGTGGTTTGCATGAATCATATTTGTATGTGCTTTAAGCTACAAATCCTTCCTCAACCGACCCTTGCCCCACAGGTTGGATTAGGAGCCCTTCTGCGTGCTCTCAAAGCACCCTGTGCATCTTCCTACCTTCACACTCCTACCCCTAATGAATGGTCACTTCACCTGCCTCCTCCCCCACTGTGAGGACCACAGGACAGGAGACTGGGTCTTCAGCCCAATGCAGCAGCCCCAACCTAGCACCTAGCACAGTGCCTGGCCATCAAGTTGGCCCCCATCTCACAGTGACCCCATGTACAAGATCAGACTGCTGTGATCCACAGGGTTTTTAATGGCTGATTTTTCAGAAGTAGATTGCCAGGCCCTTCTTCATAGCTTGTCTTAGTTTGGATGCTCCACTAAATCCTGTTTAGCAACGAAACAACATGAAGACCCCACTGACTGACAGGTGGTGACTGTGCTTGAGGTGCACCGGCCGAGAATCATCGAACCCAGATCTTCCGCATGAAGGTGAGAATTTTACCACTGAACCACCACTGGCCCCCTGGCACTTTGTTAGAGCTTAATGAATATTTGCTATCGTACAGGAAATTCTCTTTCATCTGAGGAAGACAGGAAGAGGAAGAGTAGAAAGAATGATTGCACACATCAAAGAAATGTACCAATAATCCCTAATCTTCCTTTTAAGCAGTGCTTTCAGCTTTTCCCCCTCTCACATACACTTTTCCTCACACTTGGAATATTTTATACAAAAGTACCAGTTCAAGTTCTTCCATCCTTGCTCACTGAGCTGGTGCAGCAGCTGAGTCAGCTACCCAGCACCTGATACATGTTGCAAGTGCTTTGGGGCTGTGGAAGGTGAAATGTGAATTTTCTGTGTAACATGAGTATGTGGCTAGCACAACCCGGGATGTGCTGAAAATAGGATCTGGGTAAAAGGATGTTCACCAGAGCATTTTATTTATAGTAATAAAAAAGTAGGTGGGGTGGGGGGAATCTAAACTCTAGTAATTGAGGCTTGGTTATATAAATTAGAACATATTCATACAATGGAATATTATGTTACTATTAAAGATGATATTTGAGAAAAATATATAATGGCATGGGAAAATGTACCCAATATATTAAGTGAAAAACTGGCCCCAGAATTGCACATAATCACAATTTTACAAATTGTAAGTGTATAAAACACTGGGAGAAAATATGTCCAAATGTTGCATAGTTTATTTCTGGATGATGTTGATTTTTAAAGCCTTATTTAAACTCTCTCACATATTTCTATTTTATTTTACAAAAAACATGCATTGATTTTTAGAAGTTTAAAAATAGTATATTTTGAAATTGGGAACAATTCTGAATTGTGAAAAAAAAGTGTATTACTTAACTATGAAAAGAAGCCCTATCCTGTTCCTGCCCTATGGGATTATTTTCTAGCATTAGACTAGATGCCTCACCCATACACAACCCAGAAGGTAAAGTGGCAGTGAGGCCCCTGCAAATCAAAATAGGAGTCCTTTCCTTTGGTAAGCCAGGCTCTGAAAAGAAAGCTATACCCAGTGATGTTGGCAGGGAGACTGCTATGGAGTGAGCCGGGAAAGCTGGAAGCAGCTGGGGTGTAGGCAAACCCATTCCCCTGGAGAGGGGAGAGCTGGCTCTGGTTCTGTCACTGGCTGTGTGGCCACAGGCCATTTAATATCTCTAGGCATTGCGTTCCCTGTCTGTATAAGGAAGATCAAACATCTGCCCTTCCTTCCTCACAGGCCTTTTTGGGGTTAAATAAAACAATGTGTGTGCTGTGTTTTGTAAACAAAGCACCCAATAGACAAAAAGTTTGGCAATCCTAAAAACTAACTTCTTAGAGTAGCAATCAATGCTCCCCACTTTCTTTTCTTTCAAGATATCAACAGATACAAGATATAGTCACCTCTCAAACACTCTAGGAAAGTCACAAGGAGTTTTATCAGCCACATTTAACTCATTTTAAGTTTCCCCATATCTTTACCCATGTAGCAAAGACATGTGTTCATTCACCTTGTTGTTTTTTTTTTTCCCTCGCAGGCACATGAATAAATTGGATTTTCCCATGATGACTGGGTTTTGCCACTGGAATATGGACAGAAGTGATATAGGACCCTTCCAGGCTAGGCCCAAAATCCCCCTGTGAGATCCTTCACACACCCTCTTCTCTCATTTCTGGGCTGGTTGTGGAAATTTCCTGGCTGGTGGAGGACTCTGAGACCCCTGGGAAATGGTGACACCATTAGATGGAAGGAGCCCTAGTCTCCACATCACAGGGAAGGTCGCCTACCAAACATCCGACATAAGGGATATGAGTGAGAAATGGCCTGAGATGTCAGGATCATTTGTTACACCAATTATCCTCCCTGACTAATACACCCAGGACCATGGCCACCTCTCCATTCCAGAGAGATGGTCAACCTTCTCTGCTGCTTCCCACGTGACTCTGTTGCGGGGGGCGTGGGGAACAGATATGTTAAACCCAACCCTCATCCAATGGGAAACTCACCCAAGGAAAATTTAAAATAAATCTTTCAGATTCTCTGACAGATTTCTATACAGCCTGCTCTCTTATTACTATAGAGAAACTTCAGGGTATGTGCTAATTTCAATAACTGAAAAGAGAAAAATGCTTTTGTCAAGCCAATCCCAGCAGTATTAAAGGTGAGATGCAAATAGAAAAGGGATAAGGTCCATCTCAGTGGGAGAGGTTAGGCTGTGAGTCTTTGTCTCTTTCAGGGGTGCTGACAATGGAGGAGGAACGCTAACACTGGTTCCTCATTTACTTTATTCTTAGTAATGTTCATCCCTACCCATGGGCTGCTTTAAAACCATGATTTCAGGGACCCAGAATATCTTTTGATTAAAAATATCTCTCACTCATTTGTCTTAATTTCTGTTAACAGCCACAATAACAACAACAACAAAATGATAACTAGTACATTGATCCCTGACTCTATGCCAGAATTGGGATAAATGTCTTGCATTTATTATCTTATTTAATTCTCACTACCATTATATGCACTTATAAATGAGGAATGTGAGCCGGCAAGAGGACAAGCCCCTGTGCAAGGTCACAGTTCTAGTAAGTGGGCAAGTCAAGGCTTGAACTCCAGGCCACATGTTCCCAGAGCCCACACTCTTTAATCACTGCACCATGCAGTAAAACTGGTACTTGTGAAGCCTTTGCATTGCCTGGCCCAGCAGGGTCTCTCAAAGGGGATCCTGAACGAGCAGAGAAAGGGCAGAAGTAAAAGGTTTGGCAGATACAGCTGGCATACTCTCAAAGCAGGCAGGCTTGGATGGAGCACCTGGATGAGGACCTGTGGGAGATATGGGGAGGCATTAGGTTCTGGGTCGGGGCATTCCCAGAGAGGAGAGTGGAAAAAGGGAGGGCTACCCATTTTTTTTTTTGACACTAGCCAACCTGCTCTTCCTTGCTTAGACAAGTTACTTACCTGGTAGGGGTACAGGGTAACCCCATTGGTTCTTGACAGCGACCAGGTGCCATCTAGGTACTGGTGAGCCTGAATGGCCACTGAGTTGAGGATGTTCCCATTGCTGGGACTGGTGGCCATCTGGAGGCTGATCTTGGCCTGGTGGGTTGGGGACCCACTCTTCTTCTCTGCCCCATTGGTGACCCCAAGGCTGTTGGGTTTGCTGCTATGCTTGTTGGTGATGAAGCCTGTGTAGTTGGAGGTTGCACAGGGGGCGGGCACAAAGGCCCAATCCCTGGGCTGCTGGAGACCCCCCACGTGCCGGGCCCCCACCAGAGTGGGGATGTTGGAGAGGGGTGGGGGCGAACCAGGGGAGGCATCGTAGTGCTCACTGCCTGCTGCCTGCTCCAAGGTCAGCACCATCTGGATGGCCTCCTGCTTCAACTGGTTCAGGTGCGTAGCACAAATGTCACAGCGGTTGTCCCGGTCATTCCATGCCTTCCGGATGGTGTTGGGGACCTGGAGTTTGTCGTGAATCACAGCCGAGAAAGCAGGGTCCTAGAGAACACACAAGCAAAAAAAAGGAGAGGTTATAACTCACATGCAATTTGCATATCTGGTTTATGAGTTATGCCCTAGATATAGCCAAAGAGTTTGACTGATTGATTGACAGCCAACGCAAATGAGATGCCATACAGGTAGAAAAGCCTCTATAGTTGACAAACACATTTGACAAATATAAGAATTTTACAGTGACGAATTTGAGGAATTAAATATATACAAATATATCTTAGTATATTTCTCTCCTGGCCAGTCAAATGAGAAGATACCACGTTCTTCTTGTGTCCACTAAAGAATTATAGCCCCAGTGGAGTCTCCCAAGGTATGCATTAAGAAGACAAAAATCATTTGTTCAGGTGTGATGGGAAGTGAGTGCAGTCATTCTGGGCTGACTCCATCGCAGCCCCGAGGCCCCCAGTTACCCATGGGAAGTTGGTAAAGGATGGAGGTGACCTGGAACAGAGATTCTGTTCTAAGAAAATCCTGGCCTCATTAACTAAGTGCCACTGAAAGAAAACCAAACTAAACAGATTCTGAACTAGCAATCCAGCCTGCTCCAGCAGCCCAGCAAACTTTAGATTAACTCACGTTTACCATCAGGCCATGGCAGGCTCATCATTTCTGTACCCATGTAGTTGATGTCCTGATTGAAAGAAAAATATCTCCCTGGCAGTATCCCTGGTAAAACCCAAGATACTTTTCTCCACAAACATCATCTGAAACTACTGTAAGAAAGATTCTTTAGCTCAGCGGCCCATGTTTAAAAGAAATCAGATAATGAATCTAATGAGACTGACCTCTCATTTACTCTGCTTTGTTTTTTATAAAACAGCAGAATTACACAAAGAAAAAAAGCACTAGGAGTGTTCACTGGATCTTAAAATAGCTGGGTTCTAGTTCCAGTTCTGCTACTAATTAACATTATGACCTGGACAATTAATCTCACTGAACCTCTCATCTGTAACACAAGGCCGTGGCCTCTATGAGTTGTAAGGTCCATCCAGCTCCATGACTGTGTTTGTAGGAAATAAGGGCAGGAGAGTCCAGTATCTGTAAATATGGACAGACCACCATGCCATTTTGAACTTTTGGAGTAATTTATGAGGCTCATCTTAAGGCTTATTTTCCTCTAGGACATCAGGAGGAAATCTGCCCTTCTGAAATTTGCTGTCAGCTTTTACGGGCGGAAGCCCCATCAGGGCTGAACGGAGTTTGATGAGCTGTGGGTGAGCGGATGTGTGGGGGACCCAGGGTGGCAGGAAGATTGTTGGTGGGAGGGTTGTTCTTAATTATGATCCATCTTGATTATGGGCTCCAGCATCTTGTTTTCCCTGTTTAACTACCGTGACTAGCTCCTTAGCAGGCACTGACTAACTGATTAATCAAGAGGCCTCTTTACACAGCAGCGGCAAGGAGTGGCTCAGGAGGTGGAAACTCAAGACAGTCATATAAAATGATGGGAAGCAATAGGAGGTCAAGGTTGATCAAGGCTCAGGTTGAGAAAGTGATGCGAACCATATGAGACCTGCCTTGTGGTGTCCTTCTCCATCGCAATCTGCTTGGTTCAGAGCGTCTCTCATCACAAATCAGAGAGTGTTGGACCCAAAGGGGCCCCTTGGGGATCATTCTACAGCAGACCAACACTTCAGTTTACAGGTAAGGAAACTGAGCTCCAAAAAGGTTAAAAGCTTGACTACATCCAGACCTCTTGACCCCTAGTCCATGATGTTTCACTTTAAGAGCCAAAGCTCCATCTCCATCAATAGACTCATATTTTTTTGCACAGACACATAAGGTTTTCACCTCATTCACTTGGGAAATGTTCATTTATTCTCAATGAATTTCTTTGGGTTCCCATCTGTGCCAACCGCCATATTGAATGTTGGAGATACAGAGATGAAAGACACACACCTGCCCACCAGCAACTCTCAGTCCTGGAGCAGGGGAGACTTAGAGACTGTCATGATAAGATCTGGGGTGGGGGGTGGAGGCAGAGAGGACAGGGGCCCCATTGACCCAGCCTGCCTCATGTCCCCATTTTCTCCTTCTCATTCTCATCACCAAGTTTTTATTCAGCATTCACTCACACATGGTGCTCTGGTGAGTCCTCTACCAGCCCCAGTGGCTGACCTCTACCTGTTCATGGCCCAGAATAGGCACATCCAATGCACACCATGAGAAAAGGCTTCTCTCCTGACCTGCTGGACAGTGCTTAGTATGTTCACTATGAAGCAGCAACAGCTCCTGAGTAAATGCATGTTGTGGTACAATGTTCAGGGTGCATTGCCCAGTTCAGGGGATCAAATGCTAGCAGGGCCTTTACAATCATCTTCCCACTTGCACTTAGAGGACCCCTGAGAGTTCTCAGACCCCTACTATTTGTTGGAAGATGATAAAAGGTAAAACACAGTTGCCAAATCAAAAATTGAGTTAATTTAACCTTGTGGGGAGGGAATATTATTAGTGTATGTAGGCAATTTCTATGAAAAGACTCAGAGAGAATATCTGTTTCCTGAGAAAGAATTCTGTTGTAGACTTATTAGCAAAAGCTCTCACAGCCTGCAGTATTTTCTTTGTTAAATTATATTTTTCTTCCTAAAAAAATGGAGAGATTTTCCAGAAATGCAGAAATGTAGAGAAATGGAAAAAAATCACCACCTGTTAATGTCTGGTGTATTTCCTTCTGCTTTCTTCTATGCACGTTAAGAAAAATATGTCCTATATACACACATTATCTTGCTTTTTCACTTATTATATAACGAGAATTTTCTCTTATCAGTAAACGCCATTTGAAAATATGATTTTTAATGACCACTTAGTATTCTATCCTTCCGTTGTTCCATAATTCATTTATTTATTTCTACATTCTATCAGATAATTGGAAGCTATGAGAAATCAGGGAACTGGCAAAGAAAAACAACACACAACCCATTTGTGCTTTTACGTCACCAAATTACTTGGTTTCAAGAAGCTTCAAATTAATTGCTTATTTATAACACTTTGGTTAGCCCAATCAAGTGCCACAGTAAGGCGGCAGATCTAAGATAAGCCACATCCACACATTACAGTTTATTTTAGATCTAGCCCGTAAACTCTGGATTCAGCACTGACATCTGTATTTGTAGCCAGAGCTAAAGAGATGCATTCACTCTATGGAATCCCGTGAGCCATCCATGGTCTAAGCACTCCTTTCCCCCTTTCCTCCTGGTTTATACTACTCTTCCCAGAAGCAGAATCTTCACTGCTCAGCCTATTACTATTTGCTGCTCAGCTTCTAACATGTAACAAATACTTATGTTGGCCTCCAATGTGCCAAGAGCTGCGCCAAGCTGGGGACCTGAGGATACATGCAAATGATCCCTGTGCTCTGTGAGTTCACTGTCCAGGGGCCTTCTTTGCTCCTGGACTGCCAAAAGCCACCTCCCTCTGCTGCTGCCTGGAGTCCCTGGGTGGTATAAATGGTTAACATGCTTGGCTGCTAACTGAAAGCTTGGAAATTTGGTCCATCCAGAGGCACCTCAGAAGAAAGGCCTAGCAATTACTTCTGAGAGA